TAACCAATCCCGTATGTTTCTTAGCCAGGAATGTCGTTTTCTTCCTGGGCCTCGCCGTCCCTCTATTAATTTCCTTGTAGAATCAGCTTAGGAATGTAATATTTGTCTCCTCTAAGGATATGGCCGAGGTATGAGACTTTCCTTTCTTTAACTATATTAAGCATTTCTCGTTCATAGCCTGCAGTTCTTAAAACTTCTTCGTTGGTGGCATGTGCGGTCCATGGCACACGTAAGAGTCTCCGGAGAGTCCACATTTCGAAAGCCTCGATGCGGTTCAGGGTTCTAGCCTTGAGAGACCAGGTTTCTGCGCCGTATAGTAAGATAGACCATATGTAGCATTTTACTACCCATAGTCTAAGTGTTAGCGGGAGACGGCGTGCTAATAGGAAGTTTTTAAGTTTAAAAAATGTTGACTTTGCATAATTTGTTCTAAGTTTAACTTCCTCATCGCAGTCCCATCGTTCATTGATCATGGCACCCGGATATTTAAATCGTGGAACTCGCTCTATAATATTTCCATCCACGGTCAATGCGGTGTTGATTGTAGGCTGGCGTCCTATTACCATAAGTTTGGTCTTGGCAGCGTTGATTTTAAGACCGAAACGATTTCCCATGTCCCGTATCTTATTTATTATTTGCTGGAGATCCTCTAAAGTTGGTGCTAGTATTGCCGTATCATCTGCATATCTTATATTAAATAAATAAATAAATAAATAAATCTTTATTCATCGTTGGAGTATACAAACAGATATAAATATAAATATATACTTCTGCAACTCATAAGACTAGTCAGAGAAAAAGTAGAAAAAAAAAGAGAAAAAGTACTTAAATTACACCTAAAAATCTAAAAATTCCTTTACCGAATAGAATACATTATTCAATAAGAAACTCCGCAGTTTGTTTTTGTAATTATCCTGATCCAAATTGGGCACAATTTAAGAAATCTTATTAAAACATTTTATGCCTAAGTATGACGGTGCATTCTGACTCACAGTCAGCCTTGAGTATGGTAGATGTAGATCACTGGCAAATCTAGTCTCATGAGAATGATAATCACTGTTTAATTGAAACTTATTGCTGTTAGTATATATATTCAAAATTAATTGATAAATGTACATGTTGGGAAGTGACATTATGTTATGCATTCTAAATAGTGGTCTGCAAGTTGTGTCAGGTGATACATTAAGCATATACCTTAAAACCTTTTTTTGCATGTTGAAAGTTTTTTGAAAGTGAGAGGAGGATCCCCAGGATATCAGACCATACTGTAGGATCGACTGTACTAGGCCAAAGTAAACAAGTCTCAGTATATCCATACTAACATTTGTACGTAGCGTTCTAATTAAGAAGCAAACACTGCTAAGTTTTGTACATAAAATATCTATGTGAATAGACCATGTTAGTTTTTGGTCCAAATTAAGACCCAGAAATTTCACTACGTTATCATTTCTTATTGACTGTCCTTCAACTGCTACATATAGGCTGTAGTCCACACTAACATTTTTTGGAAGAAATCGTATAAGAGCTGTCTTTTGAGAATTTAATATAAGGCCGTTATTAGTGCAATATTTATTAAAATTATTAGAAATCTTATTACATTTATCAATCATTTTATATAAATCTATATCACTTACTAGTGTATTTGTGTCATCCGCATATAAAAGAGAATATCCTGTACCATTAAAACACTTATGTACATCATTTGTAAATATAATAAAAAACAAAGGTCCCAATATAGAGCCTTGAGGAACGCCCTTGTTAATATTTGCTCTACTAGATTTAGCGCCATTAACTGTAACGGTCTGTGTTCTATTTGATAAATATGAGGCAGCCCAGTTCAATGGTATACCCCGTACTCCCACAGAATATAACTTCTCTAGCAAAAGCTTATGATCAATACTATCGAAAGCTCGGCTTAGGTCGTAAAACAAACCAACAGTATGTTCACGATTATTCAGTGATTTGTAAATATATTCCAGACAATCATAAATTGCAGTTTGTGTCGATCTATTCTGCCTGAAGCCATGTTGGTTTTCATTTAATATCTTATATTTATTTAAAAAATTTACAAGTCTTCTAGAATATGCTTCTTCAAAAACTTTTGATATTTGACTCTGAAACAAATCGAACGATAATTGTTTCTATCTCTATTATCACCCTTGCCTTTATAAAGTGGTATACATTTAGATTCTTTTATGAGTTGTGGAAATTCCCCACATTTAAATGATTCATTTATCAAATACGAAAGAGGCCAACATATTATGTCGGTGACATATCTGAGAGCTTTCCCATGAATTTCGTCGATCCCTGCTGAACATTTTTTTGTCGTTTTTATTAAGATTTCTCTTGTTTCTTGTACGTCTATGTCCTTAATAAACAAACTAGATGGGCCCACAAATTCAAAAAATATATCTTTAAAATTTGGATCAGGACAATTTTTTACGACTTCCAAAAAATGAGTGTTAAAACTGTTACATGTATGAATATTATCATTGGTAATTAAATTACCATGATCATCATTAATTAATATTAAGGGATGCCTAGTAAAACCATTCTTACATCTAGATTCATTTATAATTTTCCAGCACTCCTTAGGTAAATTTGCTGCATTTTGTATCCTCAAATTATTATTTTGGGATTTAGCGTATTGTACTTTATTTTTATAAATTTGTAATAATTGTTTATATTTCAATGTATAGAATTCATTGTTTAAGTTTTTTTCAAGTTCTTTCATTTCACATAACATGCTATGTAACTCCTTAATTTCAGGGGATAACCAGTTCTTTCTCTTTCTTTTTATGTTATTTCTCATTATTGGAAAAGTACAATTATAATGAAAGAGCAAAGTATTATAAAATGCAGCAAACCCACCCTGAAAAGTTTCAGCGATATATGTATCCGCCCATTGCTCATTTTCAATAACATTATAAAAAATATTCATATTTGTCTTATTTAATTTTCTACAATAAATATATGAATCTGTCCTTAATGTTTGATATTTAAAATTAAATTTACATAACTGATATCTATGATCTGAATAAAAAACTGACGATACAGCTAACACTTCACAGTCCAGCACATTAGAAAATATATTGTCAACAAAAAACAAGTTGAGCTCGAGCCCTGTACTCTAGTAGCTTCATTAATATGGGGTGATATATCATATTCTAATAATAAATTTAATAAATCTTTTTTATTACCTGACTCCTCAAATAAATTGATGTTTACATCACCACACATTATATACTGATCATTACTATTATAAATGGATCCTAAAAGGTCATTTAATTTTTTTAAAAATTCAGTCACAGGACTGTCAGGGGTTCTGTAGACAGACAGTACATACAAATTGGATTTCAATATTTCATTTTTTAGTACCAAAGCACATGCCTCAAATTCTTTTTCAATAGATTTTGTGTACACTATTTTATGAGCTTGAATATTTGATTTAACAATTAAACAAACACCACCGCGATTATTTTGCCGATAGAAAGCAGATACAATTTTATACCTCTCTGGACATACAAAGTCAAGTTCACTATCTTTACACCAGTGTTCTACGAGTGACACAATATCTGGGTCCTCTTGATTGAGTGTTATATTTAGCGCACTTTTTTTTCCCTGCATACCAGCTATGTTCAAATTGTTTTTAACCAGCAATGTTCAAATATTGTTAATTGGAACTCCGTTAATCTTAATTCCTCCACTTTCTCCTTCCAGGGCCATTTGAAATATTTTTTCGCCGTATATATTAAAAAGTATTGGTGACAGTATACAGTCCTGGCGGACTCCTTGACAGACATTGAAGGTGTCTGTGGATAAATTTTTGTTAACTCTTATCTCTGCGGTTTGGTTCCAATATAGTTCCTGTATGATTCTAATGTCTTTGGCGTCTATTCCTATCTCGAGCAGTCTGTTTAGGAGAATATCGTGTTTAACGTTGTCGAAAGCCTTCTGATAATCTATGAAGCACACAAAGACATCTTGGCGTTGATCATAACATTTCTGGATTAGTAGCTTGATTGAAAACAAAGCCTCTCTGGTACCCAGCCCCTTAATGAAGCCGAACTGTGTCTCTCCGCTTTTTTCTTCACATTTCGAGTATATACGAGCATGCATGACTCGAAGAAAAAGTTATATAAAAGATATTTTTTTGTAAACACTTCTTCTTGCCTAACAAAGAATAAAATGCTTAACGTCTCGGAAAGTTTATCTCTTTCCGAAACGTTAAGCATTTTATTCTTTGTTAGGCAAATTTTTATTACTGTAAACATAACTTCTGACAAGCAGTGTCCGTTTAGGTTTAACGCAGAAGTGTTTACAAAAAATAACTATTTTATTTTGTAGATCTTTCTTGCAGTGCAGTGGCGAAATACCCATAAAGGATTTTTTTGGAGAGATGAATCCGCCACATTTTTTAAAATTAATATCGTATCATCGTATCGTCGGACAACGGATGCATGAGAATCAAGCTTAAGACAGTGATGTAAAAAACTTAATGAAAAATCAAATGTATTAAAAAGGGATAAAACTTGGGTTGACACATTTCTTGTATGCGGTATTGCCTTTTGCATCAAATGTTCAAACCGCACAAGTAGGAGTTTACGAAAAATATTGCAACTAGAGTTGGAACTTTATTTTTCACAATTAGTTACTTATTTTACTACAGCTGTAATAGATTATATTTTGCTTAGATAATATTATCTTCATTGCAGTAGTATACATGAACGTTTTTCAAATAGATTTTTTTCTACGCACGAAAAACCGGCAATACTGTGTGCCGCTTATTATTTTGTCTCTTTGTCTGTCAACCGGCCATTTATATTTATCTCTGTCGCATGCGTTAAAATACAAACCACGTAGAAGTGTTCTGGATAAGCAAATATTATATCATTAAAAAAAAGGCAAGCAAAAGCAAATGGAATAATTATACGCCAATATAAAGCAAACATTGTGCAGAAAGAAGGGAAAGTGCATAAAGATTAGTCACATCAACTCACTCAATCTTAAAAGCTGAATATCCTTACTAGGCGAACATTCGCTTCTCCTTTTGGCTCCCAAGCCTATTCCAGTCTCGCATATCACCGAAATATTTTCGTCTTCCATCGATTGGTCCAGAGTGTTGAAGCTCCTGGTCGGCGTACTACTCGCTTTGGCTTTCATACTAATAACCTGAAAGAGTACGTTGCAGTTTAATATATTCGTGATAATAAGATTTTTACCTTTACCTGGTTTGTTAGGCTTTCAATTTCCGACTCCATCTCGTCGTTTCTGTCCTTCAGTTCTGAGTTTCTGATCTGCAAAGTGGTCAGTTTTGCTAACAGCATTTCGCTTTCTTCTCTTTCAATCTCACTGAAAAAGTATATTTAAGTTTTAAAAGTCTACAACATTGTGTTTTCATTGACAGTTGTTGAGGTTAAGTTTTAGCAACTTTGAATAAAAAGAATAAGGAGGGAGTATATTAAAAATCTTCGATCGACAGCGACGGGTTCCTAAAATGGCCGACTATAATTTGTTGTTTTATTTTACGTTGTAAATAAATGTTGGTAGTTATTAAAATTGTTATAAAAATATATAATTCTAATATAAATAGATGTTATAATAATTATTTATTAACACACACATCCGATACGCTACTAAAGCAGGTAAATCAAATTGACGTATATAAATTCTTCCACGTCTAATCTTTGACAAGTAATAAATAAATAAAAGCTAAAATGCAAGAAATTTTAAATGAATTTGATAAATGATCGGTTTACTACACGTATGTATATTATACATATAGTCACTTACGAACGAAAAGTTATTCCATTATTTCACCCGATTTGTGACCGAGATCTACCGCACGCTACACAACCAACTATTTTATAGTCTTTTTCGATAAATCGCAATAGTGTCACTGTTAATGTAAGTTCTGCCACAATTTCCTTCTAGATATACTACCGTTATACAACTATCAGTACTAGAATAAATAATAAATAACATAAAATAAGCTCAGTAAAGACTGACAAATCCACAAAATTTCAAATCAAATTCAAATGTGTCAAATGAATCGTCAAACTAGAGTCCTCTTTCCGTTGACCATGAATGAATACATGGATAGCATTATACTCCTTCCTTAATCTTTTTATTCAAAGATTCAAAGCAAAACAAAGGAATCAAATGTTTACCATCTTACCTGACTTTCTGTTTTTCCGCTTCCAAAATCTCTATTCTGCCTGTCAGCACATCTTTATCCTTTTCTAGGTTGCAAATTCGTCCGTTCAACGACTGGTTCTCTTTCTCTAGGTTCAAAGAGTATTTTTGAGCCGTTACCATATCGTTTTTCAGTTTTATCGTTTCGGTTTCGAGTGTCGATATTTTGTCCTCTAGCGATTGATTTATGACGCCCAGTTGCTCCTTGTCTTTCGTATATTGTGAGGTGATATCTCGTAACATGTCGGCATGGCGCTGTTCCAGTAGTTTCACCTGAAAAATAACATAGTTCATTTGAACTACTCTGTTATGTACTCGTATATGACAGAATATATGACAATGACAGCTACTGGCTGACATTTTAATTAAAAAATAAATTGTTTTTGTATTAATTTTTGTATTTCGTCTGTTGAAATTGTCATTTATCTCACTGGACAGCCTTTGGTGTGTCCGGTTAGAGAATATATGATTTCGACAAACGACATTTCAAAAAATGACAAAGACATCAATCAGCTTTTGAATTAGAATGAGAGAAAATTTGTTTTCAAAAAAGGACATTCAATATACAAGAGGTTTGTTCCAACCAGCATTTCGGGATCGTTTCGAAATCGTACTCGAATCGGTTTTCTTGTACTTTGTTAGCATGCGCGGATTTCGAATAGTTTCGTGACGGTGCAAAAAGTATCAACGTTGGAACGCTCTGTGGATTGTTTTCGGGACTATCAAAAGTGTCAAGCGAACGTGTATCGATCGGTTTTTTGTTTTTGTTTAGAATTTCATAACATAACCCTATTATTTTTGTTTGCAATTTGCAATAATAATAATTATTATTCTTGAAATGGAGAATGAGAATCCAGTAATTGTTGGTAAGTGTTGTTTTAACTGTATACTCACTAACTCGCTTACCTATCCTCTCTTTTATGATCCTGTTATGCGTAGTTTCCTGTTATTTCATTGTAGTGGTAGAATTTTTGAACATAAATACCTATCAAAGAGTAGAATCTAGTAAAATGACCAGACTGAGATTTACTCCACACAAACTCACAAGCAAAAGTATAACGCATACGTATTCGAATTCGTAAAAATAACCAAGAGAAGCATCAGCCGGACGCCGCCGGTAATGCGCAAGTCAACCCAAACAGTTCTCAATTTGGACCATATACCGAAATTACCGTTCTGAAATTGTAACTAAACGATCCCAAGGTAGGTTGGTACGCAAATAGGATCGTCCGATAACCGGCAAATCTCGGTTGGAACACATTTGAATTACTGCGCACGAGCGTGATCTTTCGGTGACGGTTCTGCGGCGGGTTGGAACAAACCTAGGGTATCCCAGGCTGAGCGTGCATTAGAAGTTTCTAAAGAACTACAATATCTAGATCGAAGATTATTTATTCTAAGCTAGATAAAAAAACTTTATCTATCCTCCAAATTTTTTTCTCTCAAAAACGGTTGTTAGATATAGAGTGTTTGATATCAAAATTCATAAAATTTTACAGAGAAATGGGGGTACCCAGGGTTGCGTAGGTAGAAAATTTTACATATTCTACCGTATTTTCTACACGTAGAATATTAATTTTCTACACCAACTAATTTGTTACATGTCAAGATGTAGAAAATTAGTTTTATATATTGAAAACCATTTTTTGCATTTATATTTGTTTTAAATACTGTAACACAATGAGCAGTACATGAAATAAATATAACAATAACTCTAATTTTTAAAATTAACATATAAGAGCTTATACCGTATGATCGAATAAAAACGGCGTCAGCGATGGCTATGAAATGAAGATCGCTGTCATTTTATATGTAAAATTATATGGGAAATGCCATCGATCGTCATTTCCAAGCCAACTGGACGCCATTTTTTTTCGATCATACGGTATATTTATTTTAGAAATATATAATATAAAAGCCTCGATAATAGCTTAATTATGAATTTTTATATTATTTGAAATAGAGATGGTCTGTCCAACGGCTAGATCCAACAGTGACAGTTGTGTCTGTCATTATAATTCACAGGCATATTGTATTTTCTGTTTTTATTTGGATTTATCTTCCCTGATTCGTTAGAGATTATAGTATGTTTTATATTTAACAAAAACTACTTTTCAATAGTAAAACTCTCAACAGAACAAAAAAAATATGAAACACGTAACATAATGATAAAAATAAGAACTACGAACTTCAAATTATTATTATATGTATACAGCTTATAAAATCAGAATTCTTTGACAGTCTTCAGATTAAATAGAATAAAATAATCTAATAGTCTTTAGATCGATTAGTTTCTTATATTCAGTAGTTAGTACCGTCACAGAATAGAGATAGCGCGTGCGCACGTATTACAGTTTTAATACTTACAGAATTTACAGAAAATACCCAGGAGGGAACTTGTAAAGGGGAAAGACAGCTTTAAATATACAAAATTAATTTATACATGTACCCGGATTTTATACATTTTCTACTTAATATTCTATATTTTCTACGCTCTATACACGTAGAAAATTAATTTTCTACGTGCCGTTACCCAACCCTGGGGGTATACCCACTTAAAATAAGAAAGTTGCTGTCAAGTTCCGGTATTTCCGAAAGTGCCGCCATTTAAAAATATTTTTAATCGTTAAATCTCGTTGTGAAACAGTAATGTGCAATAAATCTCCGATTTGAATATTGTAGTTCTTCAGAAACTTCTAATGCACGCTCAGCCTGGGCCACCCTGTATGCCATTATTTATTTTATCAATAAATACTTTTAATTAATAGCCAATTCATTACAACTATTTCATTCTATTTTAGTAAATACTATAAGTGGAACATTTGAACTACTAGAATCTCACCTGGTTAAGAGTATTCTGTTCCATTCGAATATGGTTGTCATCCACTTCCTGGGCCAACATGGTCGCCCGGTTATTCGCCTCGCACACGTCCAACTTTAGTTTCTCCCTCTCGGCCTGAAGCTGTTCTAAAATAGCTCTCAAACACTTGATCTCAGACTGATACAGACTGAGATTAGCTTGGAGCAGGATCAGATGGGGACTCTGATATTCGTCTCGAGTAGTTTCGGTTATCGAGCGAGTCTGTTTCTCCAGAACCTCAGCTAAATCTGAAATAGAATTGAAATAAGATAATATATTTTTAGTAGTGGGAACTATCGAATGAATACTATCGAAACATTCGATAGTTGCAATTCATTCGAATAATTCGATAGCTAGTAAGAAAACATTCGTCGAAAAATATTCGAATAAAAATATCGAATAGATGCGTCATCTGCCTTGAAATATATTAATTCGGCAGCAAAAACCATTCATTTGTAAAATTCATTTATTCGTCAGGATCGATTATAGTAAAATATAAACTGGATTTTAGTTGTCGCCCGGCGACGTAGGTTTCTTTCCTAGAAACCCGACAGCGGTCGGCGGTCGGTGACAATGGTATGAAAAAGCCGGCATCTTTGATTTTGAGTCAGATAAAGATAAGGACATTATTATTTTTTTTTATTGAGGTGCTAGTATTTACACAGAAAATACATTATGAACGGCGCTGTTGCCGTATATTCGTATTAGTTGGTATTAGCAAAGAATATTCTTTGGTATTATAGTTAGTTAGGGGATAGTATGACTATATATTTTGCATCTTTTTTATTAATATTCTGTTGTTACACTGCAATAATACTTTTATATTTTGGATGTAGGAAAATGATTTTAATGTTTTTAAGCAAAACTGGTTTAATAAATAATAATAACAGTAATAATTTGTTATACCTATTAACACCAAAATTTAAAATCATTTAATATAAACATTTTTTTAAGTAGTAGCGAAATATAAACAACAAATTAGAAGTCAAAATTATTTATATTAGATCCTATTTAAAAATAATATAGTCTCTAAATTTTTTGTGTGGCAACGTTGGCTTATTAAATAATAATAATTACAGAACTAAATTGTTATATTAACAACAAATTTTAAAATCATGAAATATAAACATTTATTAATTTTCTAAGCATGCAGTGTAATAGAAGAAAAATATAAATAAAAAATTAGAAATCAAAATAATTATATATGTGTATTACATTTTATTACTTTGTATTAGTATTTAAAAATAATATTTGCTTTTACTGGCATTTACTTTAAAAATAAATAAAATATTTGTTCGCAAAAATCTACATGTAAGAGAATTAGCATAAACAAAATACAAATATCGTTAACTTTTTTTTAAATTGGCACCCCATATAATTTTCCCATCCCAAAATTTGAGTTCGATAACCATTTACTTAACCACATTACCACATTACTTAAATATGATTATTAAGTTCAACTAATTCATATTACTAAAACATCTAAAATACAAATACATATGTATTTTTAAAATTAATTGTAAGTTCACCTCATCTCTCTTAAAAATTGTTACTTCTCAAAATTTCCCATTAAAAAAAAATAGACCATATACCGTATAAAATTAAGCAATTGAAAGATCGGAAAATCACACAAATTTTCAGAAAAATTTTGACCACCTGCACACACGTACACAATCATCAATTTAAAAAACACTACTACTTTAGTATTTTTAAATATTTTAATAAAACGCAAAAATAGCACAGTATTTAGAAGGCAAGTTATAAAAATTTGGAAGGACTAATAATGCACTGACGCAGACAAAAATCAAACGAATACTAAATTTCATTTATAAAAAGCATTGGATAGTCGTGGCTTAACGATAATCATTTAGTCGCACGGCGAGGTTGTCACATATGCTTTAGTATACAAATGAATGAATGATTTTATTCGAATGAAACCATTCGATAGTTGAAATCATTCATTCAGTAACCATTCGATAGTCTAATACATTCGATAGTTCCCATCGCTATATATTTTGAACAGAGCTGCAACCTCACAGAAAACTTTAGTCTTTTTTTGATTTAAATCATTTTAATGATTTAAGTCATTTGGTTTTAAGTCATTTTTCGAAAGCAGACTTGTCTTTTTCAAAATGTTGCTTATTATGTTTGAATTTTCTTACCCATAATTTTAATGGTCCTGGAATTGAATCCCAATTCGTGAATTAGTTCTTTAGGCGAATGAATACCGACGTTCTCCCACATTTCGATTAAGGTATCCGTGTTGATTATACCATTCCCATCGGGTCCTAAAGTGACGTATTGGAACGTTCTGGAATCGGGAAATAATTCTTTCGGAGATGATCTAAAGTTGACCGGTTGATCGTTACTGCTTAAAACGTCAAACCACGTTTCGTCCCTTTGGATTACGTCCAGAACCTCTTTGAAGCTTATTTTTCGGTTGTAATTTACGGATAATTCGTCCGAGAATTGTTTGATGACTTCGTCAGCTAACTTATGTAATCCTGGAACCAATAATGGTATAAAATAATTCAGTTTCTTTAACATCCACAGGGTGTAAATGAATAATGAGCGACAGAAAATGAGCTGAATGTTTATCCCGTGTATTTATTTATACAGGGTTAGGCGGGCGTATGTAGCTCCTAGAATAAAAAACTTGAGAATTTTGTTTAAGTGAAAAACTAAAGTATCTGCGAGAATATATTTCAGGAAAATATTTTAACTTCTATATGGTGGCTCAAAAAAGTGAGTGGATCGGGATATTTTTTTTAAAATGAAACACCCTGTATATTATTGCATTTTTAGCTTCCTTCAGATCACTTTATATAATCCGAAGATATGAGTAAATATATTTCGAGATTTTGAGAGATATTTTCGATTTTGAGAGATAATAAATTAATAAAAATATATTTTTTTAGTCTTTCTTAAAAAAATTATTAAAAATACAAGAACTGTCCTGAAATCAAAACTATATTAGGTATTTACTCTAGATGGTCTGTTCTTACTTTGCTATAAATATGGTAATCGTTAATCATACAGGATGTTGAAAATTCTACGCCAAACTTTCTAAATATAAAATAATTTTTCTTCGTCTTTTTTTTAATGGAACACCCTGTATATTATTTTTTCAGTAGATGGAAAATTAAAAAATGAACATTTTTTGTATTTAAAGTATTTCAAATTTTTTAATGGTTTCGTCGATACACGCAGTATTATTTCATAATACTGTATATTATACGAGGCATGTTTTTTAAGTAAGTACCGTTTTGGAATTAAAAAAAAACGTGTAAAGATATCGCAATAATTTTATTTTAACATGAAAGCCTGTACCTTAATCTACTTTTCTACATAATATCCGTGAATATTGAGGCACTTGTCATAACGTGGCACCAGTTTTTCAATACCCTCCTCATAAAAATTCTGCCGCCTGACTGGTTAACCACTGTATCACAACTGTTTTGACTTCGTTATCGTCTGAAGACGCTGACCGCCCAGGTGTTTCTTCAAGTGCAGGAATAAATGGTAGTCACTGGGCGCCAGATCAGGGCTGTATGGAGGATGATCTAGAGTTTCCCATTTAAAAGATTTGATGAGATTTGGTCCGATTAGCCACATGTGGACGGCATTATCATGCAGCAAAAAACAATACCCTTACTCAACTTGCCACGTCTTTTGTTTTGGATTGCACGGCGCAGATTGTTCAATGTCTCACAATAAGATGCTGCATTGATTGTTTCATTACGAGGCAGAAACTCCACTAGCAATACTCCTTTTCTGTCCCAAAAAACTGTGCACATGATTTTCCGGACAGAAATTGTTTGCTTAAACTTCACTGTTTTGGGTGATGATGAATGTCGCCATTCCATGGACTGTTGTTTCGATTCTGGTGTGACGTAGGCCACCCATGTTTCGTCACCAATAAAATTTTGTCTAAAAAATCTTCACCTTCATTGTGGTACTGCTCAAGGAAAGTCAATGCACTGCCTAAACGTTGGGTTTTGTGCAAATCCGTCAACATTTTCGGAACCCAACGTGAACACAATTTCCGGTAATTCAAGTTCTCGGTCACAATGCGATACAAAACACTACGAGAACATTGAGGAAAGTAGTCGCACAATGATGAAATCTGTAAAGCGCCTGTTTTCTTTCACCTTTTCGTCCACTTTCTGCACCAAATCTTCATTAACGACCGAAGTGACGCCCACTCCGTTCTTCATCATGCACATTTGTGCGGCCATCTTTAAATGCTCTCACCCATTTCCTTACCATTCCATCACTCATAATGTTTTGTCCGTAACTTCACAGATCTCACGATGAATATCGATCGGTTTTTACGCCTTTAGCACTAAGAAATCGTATGACAGCCTGTACTTCACAATCGGCGGGCTCACGATTGTCGGAGGCATCTTAAACACTCAATAAACAACGTATACAATGAAGAATCAGACTGTACTGGCGTCTGTGCATAGACAAGAGATGTAGGTAACCAGCGCGCATGCGCGGAACGCCGACCGTAGCGCTGCGGCGGCGGAATCGCAAAACGGTGGTACTTACTTAAAAAACATGCCTCGTATAATAATAAGGCTTTTTCAACGGTAAAATACGAGAGAAAAATCATTGGGTGGCTTTGATAAAAATTTACTGTGGAAAATGCCATATGAAATATAAAACCACGATTCTGCTTAAACTGCTCGACGTTTAAAGCTTATTTTTGGCAAATGTGAGAAAATTTTATCCAGTTTGTATGTTAATGGAAATTCTTGCTTTGCTTTATCATCACCATTACAAATTATTAATTTGACGCCAACGAAGTCGCGGGTACACGCAGTACCCGCTAGTTTATGTGTAAAATTAATTCGAACTCTAGTGTGATTATGAAGAATATACTACACATTTTCTTATATTGCTATTTTTTGACCGCAAATGGTAAAATCATAACTAAGAGCTTCTCGCCCGTCGAGTGAGAAATGCTGCCAGAGACTGCTACGCAATTCAGGATCTACGCGGATCGAGGGGCAGGGCGTAGGTAGATTGGAATGTATAGATATAGATGAGTGGCGGCATTTTGGCTTTTTTTATATCGCAATTTGTAAACAGCGCTTATTTGTAAACAACCACCGTTTTTAGAGAGGTATTTTAGATAACAATCGATATTTAGAAATGTTTTGACACCCTGGAAATACTACCACCGAGCACGTCACTGTTGCAACTTGCAACTGCGTTAATACGCCTGGCGGTGACCGCCTCATACTCTTTCAGATATTTAGCAATAAAATAAAGAAACCTGTTATTTTTAAGCTGTTATTCTAAGCTGCTTTTTATAAATAACTATAACAGTTTCAACTGTTATCTAAAAATAACAGTTAAAAATTGAAACTAATCAATAAAGTGCATCACTTACCTATAGCGTCACATACTAGAACCAATTCTCTCTGATTAAGATATCCATCTTCACCTACGCCCAACTTCTTCCATGCCTCTCTCAGCATGTCCTCGGTACACACGATATCCGGCTCATTTGATAAGTTTGACGTTATAAAATGATTGTCTGGCGTGTTGTTCAAATCTTTTCGTCCAGGTAATGATGTACATCTAATAATAAATAAAATAACCAAAAATAATTTATATGTTAGAAAAATACAAAAAATAAAATAAAATATACCTTTTCAACTTATAGTTAGTTTTCCGTTTTTTCGATAAAACTTCGCTTTGTGAATTAGATCGTTGGACTGGGGTGCCGTTTGCTTTTGTAGGCGAATTTTCGTTTTCTTCGTTAAAAATGGAGTTGATGTCTTCAGTTCTAGGTCTAATATATATTTTTAAATATGAACAATTTACTTAATATCGAAATATACAGGGTGCAAATTAATAAAATTCGGAAAATGATTGCTTTCTAAAGGTGCGTTCACACTGGCTGCGCCGCGCAAAACATTCTTTTAACATTAGCGCGCACAAAAGTATATGTTAAAAAAATGATTTGCGCGGTGGCGCAGCCGGTGTGAAAACACCTTAAAAAATAAATTGGTTTCATATGAATGTACATATTGTTTATATGTTCAGTTTGACACTTCCTTCATATACCGGGTATTTTTCACAAGTAGTTCACCCCAATAACTTTATTTTTTTCAGATAAAATAAAAGATTTGGTATGTTAGAATATGACATCATAGATAAACGACACAATTTTAGATTGGAAAGCGCCCATAAGGACAATGTAAATACTATCTGGCGCTATTCTTACAACGGTCGCTCCCCAAAGCTTTGATAATTTCGGAGCGGTTCGGCTTTTTCCGGAATTATGTCGCCAAATATTGTTTATTCAAATTTATTATTTTCTTTTAATTTTTTAAATAAAATAAATACAGTGTGTTGCATATAAGAAACTTTATTTTATACCGTATGATTGAGAAACAACGGCGTCAGCGTTGGCTATGAAATGAAGATCGCTGTCATTTTATATGTAAATTTATATGGGAAATGTCATCGATCGTCATTTCCCAGCCAACTGGACGCCGTTTTTTTTTTCGATCATACGGTATAAGGACATGTATGAAATACCTATGAAACATTTGA